CAGCCTTCTGAACCTCCGCAATCTCAGCCTCGGTATCCGCAGCAAACCGGTTGATCGCCACCACCACCGCAACCCCATACCGCCGGGTGTTCTCGATGTGCCGGACCAGGTTGGCGCAGCCCTGCGCCACCAGCTCCACGTTCTCTGACGTGTATGCGTGGTCCAGGGGCTTCCCTGCCACCACTGCCGGCCCCCCTCCGTGCATCTTGAGAGCGCGCACTGTTGCCACTATCACAGCGCAGTGGGGGCGCAGCCCGCTGTACCTGCTCCAGGGAATAGGGGTGATGTGGAAGAAGGGGTGATTCGAGGACGATTTGGGGTGATTTGAAGTCGACTCAAGGGGCAATTTTGCGAAGGTATGATTCAAGAAGGGGTTACACTGGGAAAGAGAGGGAGTGCACCTCGTGTGCCAAATCAACTCCAGCCCTTTTGACTTTGAGGCACCTTGCCTGCCTGACACGTCTCACTAAGCTCGCTTACAGCCTGCCCATCAACTACCGCCCGCTGCTCGCCTCATGCTCTCCCCACACGCGGCCCTCACAAGCTCACCTGCACTTGATGTTGAAAAACTTCTCTGCGCCAATGTCCGCCCCGAAGCCAGCCTCAGTGCACACGACGCCGCCATCCCCCACGAGCTTGAGGGCGATCTGGTCCGCGATGATGGACGAGTTGCCGTGCGCTATGTTGGCGAACGGCCCCGCGTGCACCAGCACGGGCGTGCCCTCCAGCGTCTGCATCAGCGTCGGGCGAATGGCGTCCTGAAATGGAGGGAAGAGGAGTGAGGGAGGAAGAGGGAGGGAATGTGAGGGGATGGAAGGGAAAGGGGAGGCGAAGAATGGGAAGGAAGTCCCAGCGTGCACCAGCACGGGCGTGCCCTCCAGCGTGTGCATCAGCGTGGGGCGAACGGCGTCCTGGAGAGGAGGGGAGGGACGGACGGGGAGAGCGAAGCGAAGGTAGACAGTAACGAAGGAGGGGGGTGGAAGGAGGGAGGGGTGCGAATAGCAGCACAACAAAGAGCAGCACAATGCATGGGCAACGGGGGGATACTCATTGAAAAAGCATGGAACGCGAAACCCCATGCTCGTACAGGAAGGGCCTCACAACGCAAAACAGTCAAACCTCACCACCAGACAACCAGAATACCGCTTGCTCGCTTACCTTCATAATAACCGTCAGCGCGCCACCAATCCCCAAGTCATCAGCAGTGACCGCGTCGCCCGCGCGGCTGGTGCCGATGACCATGCGGCCGAGCCTCTCGCGGAGGTCGTCGAGCGACGTGGTGAGGGCGAGCACGGCCATGATCTCGCTCGCCACGCTGATGTCGAACCCCGTCCGGCGAGTCAACCCGCGCTCCTCTGGCCCCTGCCCGATGGTGATCCCCCGCATGAACCTGCGCCGTATGGGAGACGGAAATGGGCTAGTTGTTGGTAACGTTGCATCGGATCAACACAGGTGGGTCATTGGCTGCTCGTGCTTTCCAGTCAGTATCCTTGAAAATAACAGCCACTGCTAGCCGCGACCCACTCTGGTGGGACCATCACTCTTCGTAGTTCTCAGAACCCATAGAAACAGAACACTTGCGAGACTTCTGCTAGTCCCAAGCCACCCACGGACATCCATCACTGCCACCTTCCACGTCCCCGTCACGCATGCGAGAACATCCACGTCACGCACATGCTGACAGACACCATCACGCTCCCATACTTGACATCCACCACCCACCGCACCCACCCTTCACATCCATGCCCTGGCGCACCTATCATTGATGTCCATCACGCGGCGCCACGTGATCTTCTCCGGGTCGATATCCAGCCTCACAAACCGCCGCACCTCGTCCTCCGTCAGCTCCGCGGGGTCGCTCTTATCAATCCCCAGCTTCTTCAGCCGCCGGAACATGACCGGCGAGAACCGCCGCTTGCCCTCCTTGTCCGCGGGGCACAGCCGGTTCAGCAGCCCCTTGTCGGACTGAGCGGCTTCGTGGAAGATTCGAGTGTCGATGGCGGCGGCGAGGAGGTTGTTGGCTGCGGTGATGGCGTGGATGTCGCCGGTGAGATGCAGGTTGAAGTCCTCCATTGGAATCACCTGGGATGGTGCGGCAAGATTGGTGGAGTCTCACAGCTTTATTGCGAGCGAGATGAACTTAGAGACAGTTTTGAGAACTTGCAGGTTCCATTCATTGTCGTCAAACATGCAAGATGCTTGTCAATCTTTGTTGAATTTTGCAAAAATAACATGTCCATTTCAGTCAAATACTCTGCTCACCTGACTGTATCCTCCTCCAGCCGCTCCTCCCTTGATGCCGAAGGTGGGTCCCATGCTGGGCTGACGGATGCATGCAATACACTGCACGGATGAGGCAATCGGGCCGAATGGAGAGAGGTTAAGATCGTTCTGGAGCCAGGTCCTTGGAGCCCACGAAAAAATATTGTTTCGACTTTTCTCTTCGTACATGTTTTTCTACACAACAGAAAATGATTGTTTCCATGTCGAATCTGACGATCAAGAATCCGTGCTTAATCTGTCAGTCACCAAACGAGCTAGTCTGTCACTCACCGACTTGTCTAGATGGGCTCCAAGGGCCTGTGCGAGCCCGATGGTGGTGGTGGATTTGCCCTCTCCGAGCGGAGTTGGAGAAATTCCGGCGACCAGCACATAATATCCAGACTTTGAGTCCTTCAACCGGTCCTTCACGGACAAGCAAACCTGAAATTTACCGACATTGAGATGAACAATAAGGAGGTGAATGATAAGTGGACAGAGAACAGGTTGCGATGTGGACAGAATTACGGAACGCAGCTCTTGAAAGAAAGAGGTTGGTATCTTGTATATTGGTATGTTCCTTGCCTTGGCTTTGACATTCCCGTAGAGCTCGTACTCAGACGGTTGCAGACCGACCGCCTTGGCAATCTCAACTATCGGCCGCGGCTCCACTGACTGGGCGATAACAATGTCAGCAGGCACAGGGTCTTGCACTTGCAACTTGCGAGCAGTTGCAGTGGTCGCCATTGGAAACAAATTCTTCACCTATAGCTAATGCCTCGCCTTCGCAAGGAACCCCGAACGATTATTCTCTTGTCCAAGATGCAGGCTTAGAAGCTCGGATGCAAAATGCTACTGCGGATTTGCTTCAGTGAACTGGAAAGTCTCAAATGCCAGGATCAGCCTAAATGGTTCCGGAATCCAGAAAGCTGGAAGTGAAAGGGACTGCTTGTTGATGAGTGATCACTGATCATCCTCTGGCATTCTTCCCTGAACAAATTGCTGGTCGCACGCATCGCCACTCGTTCGGGATTGCCTTGTTGGACTGCAAGGATGTGACTGACGTTGGATCATCACTGACAGTCAACAAGAAGCCTCAATTGATTGCATTGCTGACCGTTCGATGAGTTGCTTGTAGCGCTCTGACGTCCCTCCTGGCGCGCGAACCCCTGATTGGATGGGTCGAATGCACATGTCAAAGAAAGTCTGCCAGATTGTGTGAAGATTTGGGGTGCCAGTTCATGCGGATTTCTAGCTCGTCGTGGCAGTTGAATGACTAGGATATCCATTTTGCTGTTGTGGCTTCTCCAGGTGTTCCACCACGTCATCAATCCAGTCTGGTCAGCAAAATTTACCTCAATACTTCTGGGTTCGTTATAATTTCAGTACAGATTCAGAAGTTTTGACGAACTCGTATTTCGACCATTTCGAAGGCTTATTTCGGCAATTTCGAGGTTGAAGTATCACCAAAATGCCTGTCTGTCAGGCACCAAACGCGCCGAGCACATCAACAGCCCTGCTGCAGGCAGCAGCCTCTCACAGCCGGAACAATGCGGGACCCAGCATAGCATCCACCGCAGCGGCCGATGATCACCCTTCGCCCTTCGGGGCGTTCCCTTCCGTTCCTCCTCTTCCAGTCACGCTTTTCCGTCTCCAGTCTCGCCACCTCTTCTCTCCTCGCCGATCCATCGCATGTTGTCAACGTTAACTCTCGCAATCGCCATCCAACCGTCGCACCAGCATCGCTCGTGCCGGGATTAACATCTTCATCGGCGCTTTCCGCAATTTCCCGCCAGGCATCCTTAAATCACCTACAATCTCGTACGAGCTGGTCTTCAGTGCTCCTCAATCCACCGCTTATTAGAGCATTCCACCCATCGGTACTTGACAGTCAATCCAGTGGCAGGCAAATGGAGGTCGACTCTCGAGCCAATAAGGTTGATCCACGTGGCTACGAGGCTGCTCTAGCAGCGCTCTCTGGATTGATCAATCAGCGTAAGCGCGCCGATGGGTCAAACTGGGGAGATGCCTTCGCCCTCATGCGCTCATACGTTAAGGTTAGTCTAGTGATTCTCTGAGCTAAGGTTGCTTGCAAAGTTGGCGGTAAATATCTACTCTAAGATTGACTCCCTCATGACCAGTTACTCTCTGAAGTTTAGAAGTCACCAGCTACTAACGACACCAGATTAGTGTCGGGTCTCTGGTATCATTCCGAGTTAAGAAGGTTCTTCGCAAGGCTATCTCGTCATGATGTGACCGTCTGTTTCCATTCCAGTAAAGAGGTAGTCCGTGGTGTAACATTCCTGCCATCAGCTGTGATCCTTGCTCGTATTGTCGGAATGTTGACTCTCCTTTTATATGCGACTAACTATTGTTGTTCTCGTTGTCAGGTGCTGGATTTGGAGGGACCAATTGACCAGCTCAGCATCATCCACGTGGCAGGCACCAAAGGCAAGGCAAGAAACCAACATTTTGACATGGCACAGCATCACAGCCTGATTCAAATGACATGGCACAGCATGATTCAAATGACATAGCACAGCATGATTCCAACGCGCCCTCCTCTCTCTCCTTCCCTCCTCTCACCCACATCTCCACTTGTTTGACAAAACTCCATGTGCGCCATAGCGGAAAGCATGCTGAGGGCCAGAGGCCTCACCACGGGTCGCCAATTGTGCTCCTTCCATCTTTCTCCCTTTCGCCCGTCCCCTCCTCTCAATAACCCCCCTCTCTCCCAGCAGGGGTCCACGTGCGCCATGGCGGAGAGCATGCTGAGGGCCAGTGGCCACACCACGGGGCTCTTCACCTCGCCTCACCTCGTGGACGTCCGAGAGCGCTTCCGCCTCAACGGGTCAGTGATGTGAGGGTTGAGTGGTGATGGGGATGCGGTGCATGCTGGGTGAGTGGTGAAAAAAATTAAGAGCTTCTTGTGGAGAGCATTTACTTTTACTTTGATGGGTGTACCCTGCTTACCACACCTTGTGGACTTCACGAAGAGGTTCTACCTCAGTGGGTGAGCAATGTGTGGTTTGGGGAACTATGTTAACAAGCCAAAATTTGGGATCTATCATGTGAGACGCTGTGCTGTGCAGCCAGTGAGGGTCAGCTCATACTTCTCTGCTTTCCCTGCCCGACCCTTACCAATCCTCTCGTTGTTCATCCCGTAGGGAGATGGTGCCAGTTGATACGTTTCTGCAGCACTTCTGGTGGTGCTACGACCGCTGCAAGGTGCGAGGCAGGTGCAAGGTGCAAGGCAGTTACACTCTCTCGTTCCCATCGCCCCACTTTCCATCGTCTCCCACCTCGATGCTAGCCCATATCCGCATCCCGAAACCCCTTTGCCTCATACTCATAAGTGCACCATTTCTCCCCTCATTCCCCTTGCCCCTCCCATTCCCCCGTTCCATTCCCTCCCGCTCCAGGAAGCAGCGTCCTCTCCCTCCTCCCCCATCCCCATGCCGGCCTACTTCCGCTTCCTCACTCTCCTTGCCCTACGTATCTTCACGCACACTCAGGCAAGCCTTTTTCTCTCTCGGCCAACTCACTTTTAGACATGCTGCAATAGCTCTTCCCTCGCTCAGACTGTTCGCCCTGCTCATCGTCTCCCACACTTGGCTCAATGGGCCGTAAGTTTGCCTCTTGCCAATCAACCCACCTTCTGCTCCTTGTCCTATGTGGCAGGTTGACGTGGCAATTCTGGAGGTTGGGATTGGAGGACGATTCGACGCCACTAACATCGTGAGTGGTCGGTCTCTTTGCTTTCTGAACCATGCACCCACTCTTTCCTTCCCCACACCCGCTTGCGAGCACCCTTCTTCTGCAATGTCGTGACATCACATTCTCTTCCGCTTGGCATCATCTCCTCAAACTTGTCCCTCTTTGTCCCCAAATCCCACCTTTCTTTGTCCCCACCTCCCGCCCTTCTTTGCCCCCATCTCCCGCCCTTCTTTTCGTCCCCATCTCCCTCTACACCTTAAGGTCAAGCGCCCGGCAGTGTGTGGCGTGTCGTCACTGGGATTCGACCACATGGAGCTGCTGGGTGAGTCTGTGTGTGTGGGGCTTAATGTGTGCGGCTGGGGATGAGTCCTACTGTGGTGCAGGGTGTGCCAAGGCCATGTGCCATCAGCCACAATAGCATCCAGCAGTGTGTGGTGTGTCCTCTCTGGGCTTCGACCACATGGAGCTGCTGGGTGAGTGGGAGGGGAGGTGTGCTGTGGGGGGTTGGGTGGGGGTAGGCCGGGTGGAGCAATCGACCCCAAGCACTCGGCAGTGTGTGGCGTGTCGTCACTGGGATTCGACCACATGGAGCTGCTGGGTGAGTGGGTGCTGGGTATGGAGCTACAGTCTACCCCTGTCCACTCACACCCACCCCCTTCCACCCCTCACTGTCCCTTTCCATTCACACTCGCCTCCATCCACCCCTCACTACCCCTGTCCACTCACAATCACCCGCTTCCAGTCCTCACTACCCCTGCCCACTTGCACTCACCCCCCTTCCACCCGTCACTACCCCTGCCCACTCATACTCGCCCCCTTCCACCCCTCACTACCCCTGCTCACTCATGCTCGTCCGTGTCTCTGTTTCTGTCCCCTGCTCTGCTGACTCTGCGAAACCTTCAGGAAACACCCTGGCTCTGATAGCTGGCGAGAAGGCTGGGATATTTAAGGTGAGGGGGAGGGAGGTGTGGAGGAGGGGGAGCAGGAACGGGGAGGGGGGAAGGGGAGAGGGACGGGAGGGGGGGCCAAGGGGTGGGAGTGTAGGCTGTGAGAAAGTGGAGAAGGGTAGGGACCAGGGGGTGGGGAAGTTGTGGAAAGCCTTGGGCCCTAGGCAAGAGAGCAAGTGCGTTTTTTCCATCACTCCTCCCAATAGTTTTTTTTTCCCTTTGCCTCAATCTCCCTCTTCCTTCTTGCCTTTCTCCCCTCATGCTTCTCCACGCTCCACACCCCGTGCCCCCCAGGCAGGAGTGCCGGCAGTGACGGCGCCACAGGAGGAGGAGGCAATGGAGGTGCTCAGGCAGCGAGCAGCAGAGCTGCAGGTGGGAGGGTGGGTGTGGGTGTGAACGAGATTGGGTCTGGGTGGGGAGTTTTCGAGGTGGGTCTGGGTCTGGATTGAGGCCATGATGCCTCTCATGCCACTGCACTGCTTCCCTTTTTTTGAGTCGACTCAAAAGCTGGATTGAAGCCATGATGCCTCACATGCCACTGCAATGCTTCCTTCCCTCAGAAAGGCTGTCTGTCCTTTCTACCTTGCACACTCCCACACTCCCACACACCACACACCCACTCAACACACACACACACACCCACATACACACCATCTCGTTCCCGCCCACTGCTCTTCCCCCGCTAGATTCCCCTTAAGGTGGCCAGGCCGTGGCATGAGGTAGCGCCAGGTGTCCGCGTGGGATTGGCGGGCCGGCACCAGCAGGTGAACGCATCGCTGGCCGTCTCTCTCTGCCGCCAGTGGGCCATTCGCAGTGGCAGGGAAGAGGAGGCACGTGCAGTCGATGAGGTGAGGTTCAGTGCGGTGCTGTCAGGTCTGTCAAGTGGTGTGTTGTGTTGCCGGCACCAGCAGGTCAATGCGTTGCTGGCCGATTCTTTCTGCCGCCAGTGGGCCATCCTCGGCGGCCGGGAATAGGCAGAGCACATGCTGTCGATCAGGTGAGGAGTCAGTTCCGTGAAAGACATGTGTTACTGAGACGTCTCAGAAACACTCTTCATTCACCTGGCCGATTCTCTCTGCCGCCAGTGGGCCATCCTCGGCGGCTGGGAGGATGAGGCAGAGAAGATGCTGTCGATGAGGTGAATGAGGAGGCACTTCCGATCCCTGGTTCCGATCTCCTTCATTTTCCACAGGCCTTGCATTCGCCACCTGGTTCAAGGACTGCCCGGTAGGACATACTCGTGATATTGCTCCTAATGTTGACGCGCCTAGAAACTACTCTGGTTAGTAGGACATCTGCTCGTGTTGTTGCTCCTCTTTACCTTGGTCTACTTGAATTCACTTCTTGTTTTCCTTGTGTCCGGTTCACCTCCCTCTTCTTGCCTTTACCTCCCGGTTCAGGCCCTGGCTAATAAGACACTGCCACTTGCTTACATCAAAGGGCTAGGGGGTGCCTCCTGGCCGGGCAGGTGCGAAATTCTGCAGGACTGCCCGGCCGAGCCTGGGCAACCTGGAAGTGCAGGCGGGCAGCTGACATTCTTTTTGGACGGTGCCCATACAGTGGAGAGTATGGAGGTGTGCGGAGAGTGGTTCTCGGAAGCTTCTGGAGATGCAAGAGGGAATGGGAAGGGGGGTGGAGAGGGGGTTGGACGAACGAATGTTGGGGAAGGGGCAGCATCAACAGCAGTAGAAGGAGCAGCAGCAAAAGCATCAGCAGCAGCAGCACCAGCAGCGGGGGTGGTGCAAGGGCCAAGCAAAGTGGAAGCCAAGACGCCTGTGCGGGTAAGGTCTCGCGAAGCGAAGTGTGTGGGGACTGGTTGAGTGGCAGAGTTACCATGCAGAGGGGGGATGATATGCAGAGGCAGAATGATATGCACTCAGTTCACGAGATTTACCTTTCTTGCCCACAGGTTTTCCTGTTCAGCTGCATGCCGTTTGCTCCACGTTCTCTCATGCTGCACTAATCGTGCTTTTCTTCTCTCACTGCCCTGCTCTCACTGCCCTGCTCTCACTACCCTGCTCTCTCTGCCTTCGCTGCCCTGCTCTCACTGCCCTGCTCTCACTGTGCTGCTCTCACTCCCTGCGCTCATGGTTCATCACAGGTGTTGCTGTTCAACTGCATGCCTGAGCGGGACCCTCACACACTTATGACGCAGCTGCTTAGGACACTTGAGCGCAAAGGTATGTAAGAAAATGCTTAAGTATGTTGGAATAATTCAGTTCCATCTGAAAACACTCATGTGCATAAAAATGGTTAACAGAATTGTAGCAATGATAGAAAACGGCAATCATTGTTTCTCTCTAAGCCTTCTCTTTGCGCTTCTGGCTGGCTGCGTGTGCATGTATCCTTAATCCATTCCGTTTCTTAGTCCACTTCAATTCTTTTCTCATTCTATTTTTTTCCCGTTCTCTTTCTTTTCCCATTCTCTTTCTTCTCTCGTTTCCTTTCTTTTCCCGTGCCCTTCTTTTGCCGATTCCCTTCCTTTTCCCATTCCATGAGTTTGTCATTCCCCTTCCATCACCCATCTATCTTTCCCCTTTCCTTCCTTTGCCCATTCATTCACTGTCAATCTTTCGTCTCCTTCCCCATCCCTTTATCCCCAGGCCTGTCTCTCCATCGAGCCCTCTTTGTCCCCTCCCTCTCATCCTACACCGCCCTCCTCCCCTCTCCATCATCCTCCGCACCTTCCTCGGCTTACCTCCCCTCATCCGACTCCACTGGCTTGGCTCCTAATTTGACGAGCCAAAGCACCAGCTCTGGCACCGATGCTAGTGGCACGAGGCAGAGCAGCAGCCTCGGCCAAAGCAGTCTGGTTTGGCAGCTAGCCATGCAGCAAACATGGGAACAGCTGCAGCAGCAGCCTCTGCATGCTGTTAATTTTGCTGCCGCTGCTTCCGATATTGGAGCTGCTCCTGCTGCTGCTCCTGCTCCTGCTTCTGCTGCTGGTTCAGGTGGCCGTTCAGTTGACTCGATTCCTGCTTCGTTCCTAGTCCCATGTGATTCGAGTCAATCAGTAGCATCGCCAGCATCAGCAACTGAACAACCAGCAGCACAAGGAGCAACACAAGCAGCAGAAATGAAAGAGTTGGAGGATTTATTCTGGCCGTTGATCTCCCAGGGAATGGCGAGTTTGGGACCTTGCAGTGCTGTGCTGCCGTCATTACCAGCTGCCATTGATCTGCTTAGATGGACGGCTAAGATGCATCCATACGTTCATCTGCAGGTGTTAGTGACAGGGTCACTGCACCTGGTGGGTGACGTGTTGCGTGTAGTGAGAAGAGACTAAGTCTGGTTGCAGCTTGTAGTGAGGCGAATTTACTTTGAGATGTTTCAGAACAGCTGTTGGCCACATGTCTGTTAGGAGGTCCATCCAGATTTACTCCCCAACTTTCAGTTGATGCTACATACACATCATTCAGACTGAGAATAAACACCATGCGCATATAAAATGCACTAGGCTTATCCATATCCGGAGTAGTTTTTTATGGCTGCGAGAAGAGAAGCTTTTTGCAAGAGCTTCGTGAGTTGCCTAGGATGACAAAAAAAAATCAATAGACTTGCTGAAGGGATGGCTTACATGTTATAATTGTAATTGTATGAATTGGCCTACATGTTATAATCTTATACCGTTCCAGGTTCTCTGTTATGAGTTGTACGAAAGAAAAGTGCGCAGTATTCAATAACGCGGAAGTGATTACAAAGCCTGAGCAAACAACGAGGCCTAGGCAATATATAGCAAAGCTAGCTAGGCCGAGGTCGCGGAGTCGCACGAAGGTTGGGTGCAGGTTTGGGTTTGGGAAACCCGAAGGCAACGCGAAGGACGTTCGGAAGGCGAGGTCGACGAACCGAGCCTGAATTCCGAAGAGTTGGAATTGTACGCGTAAGAGATGCCTCAGTAAGGAATTAGCGAAATTCCTTACACTACCCCCCCCCCCCCCCCCCCCCCCCCCCCCCTTAAGAAAGGTGGTCAATATCAGGCACGTGTCGGCGGGAAAGATAATCCCGAAATACCGAGTGGCCTTGTAGTGAGTCAACCCACGTGTCATCTTCACTTGTGCGATCCACCCAGCGTAGCTGAAAATCGACGTGTCGTCCAGCGGGGGTCGCGCGAATGCGATGAAGTGTCGGGTCTGCCACCGGGCGGACACTTGGCGCTGGGTTGGGTCGAGTGACGTCGGACGGCTGCGGTGCCACGTAGTGGCGGAGCAAACTGACGTGGAAAGCGTCGTGGATCTTCCAGTCGTCCGGTAGTAGAAGTTTCGCTGTGACCGGGGTCAGCATCCGAATGATGCGGAAAGGCCCCACGTAGCGGGGACGCAATTTTGCAGGTTGGGGCAGTTTTAGGTTCTTCGTGTCCAGGAGGACCATCTGCCCGGTACGGAAGGGTAAGTTCCGTCGATGTCGGTCAGCATATCGGCTGGCGACAGTATTAGCCTTCCGGATAAACTCCGCTGCTTTGTCACGCGCTGCTTGAAGTTCCGAAACGAATTGCTGCGACCTTGGTACCGTGTTTTCGGGAGTCGTTGACGAGGGTACCACTGGATCTATCCTGTAATTGAGGTAGAACGGCGACTGATTGGTTGTTGCAGATGGGGCGTTGTTGTACGCAAACTCGAGCATGGGGAGTGAATCTTCCCATTTGGTGATGTCGGGGCAGTTCGTGCGAATCAACTGCTCCATCGTATGGTTTGTCCTCTCTGTCTGTCCGTCGGTTTGCGGGTGGTAGGACGACGAGAACTGCAGGCGGGTACCGTACTGTGCCCACGTCTCCTGCCAGAACTTCGACGTGAATTTCGGATCTCGATCGCTGACGATCGCCGAAGGTAACCCGTGTAGTCGCACGACGGTCGAGATGAAGAGCTTCGCTGTTTCTTCGGCTGTGATCGTCGTGCGGCATGGTGCGAAATGCGCCATTTTCGTTAAGCGATCGACGACGACGAGCACGGAGTCGTTGCCACTTGCGCCAGCTGGTAGTCCCATGACGAAATCCATTGTCACCTGTTGCCACGGTCGTTCGGGTGGCTCGAGGGGCTGTAGTAATCCAGCCTGGCAGGTCGGGCAGGCGGACACGTAGTGCTGCACGTCCGACGCCATGTCGGGCCAGTAATAATTCCGCTGCAGCAGCTTCAACGTTTTGTCGACGCCGAAATGCCCGGAGAGATTGGAGTCGTGTACTTCCTGCGTCAGCAATTCTCGTAAGGGTCGGTAGGAAGGTACCCAAACTCGGTTAGTACCGACTTTTAGGTAGTAGTTCCCATGCGCTGTGGTGACCCGTTGGTGTTGATTGGTCCTGAAAAACCTGTCGATCTTGAATGGGCGATTAGTACTGCTGCGGTCTGCATCGATGGGCGGGTCAGGGCGTCGGCGATGTTGTTGGCGCCCTTTTTGTACGTGATGGTGTAGCGGAAATTCGACTCGAGGTAATCGAGCCACCGGATTTGTCGTGGGTTGAGTTGTGGTTGGCTGCGCATGTACTGTAATGATTTGTGGTCAGTCCGGATGGTGATATCAGCTCCCGTGAGATAGCAGCGCCAGGTACGAAATGCATGCACGATGGCGAGCATTTCTTTGTCGTGTACAGGGTAGTTGCGCTCAGGCGGCTGCATTTTCCTTGACTCGTACGCGATGGGTTGCAGCCCGTTGCCAAAGTCTTGTAGTAGCACAGCGCCGACGGCGAAATCGCTGGCGTCCGTCACGACTTCGAACGGTCGAGATGGATCTGCCAGTCGAAGCACCGGGGGTGAACTCAAAATTTTCTTCAGCTCGTCGAAGGCCAGCTGCTCTCTCTCCCCCCACAAAAATTGCACGCCCTTATGCAGAAGATCGGTTAACGGCCTGGTCACCCCCGCCATATTCGGTACAAAACGGCGGACGTTGTTAACGAAGCCGAGGAAACTCTGCAACTCCGTGATGTTCGTGGGCGGCTTCCACTCCGAAATCGCTTTGACTTTGCGAGGGTCAATCTTAATGCCCTCCCCTGAAACCACGTGCCCCAGGAACTCCAGTTCCGACTGTAAGAACTCACACTTAGAGCCCTTAGTGATCAGCCGGTTCTACTGCAAGCGCCGGAACACCTCCTCTAAGTCCTGTAAATGCTGCTCCCGAGTCTTGCTGTACACCAGGATGTCGTCCAGGTAAACAATGACTTTTTTGTCCAGCATATCCCGAAACACCCCATTCATGGTGAGCTGGAAGGTCGAAGGCGCGTTCGTCAACCCGAACGGCATCACAGTATATTCATAACTGCCGTAGCGGGTGCGAAACGCAGTTTTCGGGCAGTCGTCGGCGAACACGCGAATCTGAAGGTAGCCACCTCGCAAATCGATTTTCGAGAAGAAGCGAGCCCCGCGAAGTTGGTCCAACAGGTCATCCGCTCGCGGGATCGGGTAACGCGACTTGATTGTGACCCGATTCAACGCTCGATAGTCGATGCACATGCGCAGGCCTCCGTCCTTCTTCGGCGTGAACAGTATCGGGGCGGCGTAAGGTGACGTGCTCGGCCGAATAAAACCCTTCGAAAGCAGATAATCCAGCTGTTTCCGCAACTCGTCGAGCTCTGGTTGGCTGAGCCGCCACTGTGACCGAACAGTCGGTTTTGCGCCTGGCTCCAGCTCGATCGTGTGGTCTTCAGGTCGCTGAGGTGGCAGCCCGTCAGGCAGGTCATCCGCGAAAATTTCGGGATGCCTCCGAATTATGCTCGCCACGTCGTCCGGTACAGCAGCGCAGAGCGTGTCAATGTCGGCGATTTTCTTGGACGCCACCACCTTGTACAGCTGTACGGCGTAGCCTTGCGCTCCACGTTCTATCGCCCTCTTCAGCGTGATCGCGTTGACACGTGTTGTCATCGGCTCTGGCTCCGCCCATTTCGGAAGTGTCACGCGCCCTTTGTTGCACAGCACCGTGATTTCTCCCGTCGTCCAATCGATCGTCGGATTGAATCGCTGTAGCCAATCTCGTCCCAGCAGCACATCGCAACCGTCCGGTGTTGTCGCCAGCATTCGCATCAAAAACCTGAAATCGTCGCCATACTTCATTCGAATTTGTCGGACCTCGTCCTTGATCGCCAGCGGTGTCCCGTCCACCAGTCGCGCGTCAATCTCAGGCAGACACCTGTCCAGCTTGACTCCGATTTTTTTGGCCGTTGCCAGGTTGACGAGGCTGTAGCTCGCCCCACCGTGAACGAAAAGTTTTATGTTATGTCTGTTAACCCTCCCCACGACCAGCACAGGGTGATCCACGTGTTAATCCACCTTATTCGTCCGGTTGCGGTCGATAGCCCGTATCGGTACCACCAATCGGTGTGGATGTTGATTGCCGGGCGACGGGGTCTCGTCAGTAGGTGGCCCGACTGCTACTGACTCGTCTCTTTTCCCGACCCCTCTCCGTCGTTCCTGTTTCGCTGTTTCAGCTTCGGGCAGTCCTTCCTCCAGTGGCCCGGTTGGTTGCAGTTGAAACACGTGTTAGGTCCACGTCTCGGTGCATCCACCCCGTTGATTGTGGGCTGGCGCGGCGGTCCACGAAATTGAGTGCCCTCCCAGGAACTCATTCTCGCCCATTGCATCAGCGCATCCGTCGATTCAGCCACCTGGACGGCATCGAGGAAATCGCGTGGCCTCGCCTGTCGCACCTCGTACTGTACTTCGTACTTGAGGCCTGCGACGTATCGGTCGAGTCGCTCCGCATCACTCATGTCGTCCACCTGGTCAGCCAAATTGCAGAATGTTGCCGTGTAATCTTGGACCGACGCCACCTGCTTCCAGGTGCGCAGCTTCATGCGAGCAGAATCCGAGGCGGATACATGCTCGAATCTGGTTCGCAGCGTGGCGCCCCACTCCGTCCATGTGCGTATCGTGGCCACTCCGAAGATTGAAGTTGCTCGTTGCGTGACGGTTGTCCAGGTCCCGTCGTTCGCACGTGACATCCCTGCCGGAGTCCCCTCTGTCTGAAGAGTCCGCTTCCACCACTCCAACGCCGGCCCTCGTAACAGTGACACTGCAAAATTAATGCGAGTAACATCGTCAGCAATTTGCGCAGCATTAAATAATACCTCCACACCAAACAGTCATGCCGACACAGTGACGGTTTTGTCGCTGGGGTTGAACGGGGGCGGGTTCGTTGGTTTTATTTTAACCGTTGTTGAGACTGTTGCTGCTGCATGCATCGGGGGCGCCACCGAAGTCATCACCGGGGTTGTCGCTGTTGTCTGTCGTGGCGTAGACTGCGACTGTTGCCTCGGCGCCGCTCATGTCTGTTGCTGCGGCTGCGACTGTTGCTCCTGCGTCCCTCGTGCCTGTTGCATCCGTGCCGTCCACTCATCTTCAGCATCCAGCGAGTCCTGTAGCTCGCTAAGGGCCTCGTCGTTAGGCGCGAAGCTGCTACTTGCTTCATCCACGGCGGGCGACTCCTGACGCGCTTCACCTCACGTCTGGGGTAGCTCGGCGTTTTCCTCCCTCAGGCGATCCACCTCTGCAGACATGGTCTGCAAGTTGGCTTGCATCGCCCGAAACTGTTGCATGAACTCGTTGAACTCCGCCTGCTCCATGTTTCGCAGGCTTCTCCTAACGGGCAGCGGGTTAACAGCGATTTTTATGGTTTTGATGAAGGCGCAAACGCTATTAGTCAAAGCGAGATAATCGTATCTATCTCTCAGCCGACCAAACCTATCGCACCCCTGCACTAAACTACCCCGGAAAGTGGAGGGTAACCTAGGAAAGTAGCTCTGATACCAAGTGTTATGAGTTGTACGAAAGAAGAGTGCGCAGTATTCAATAACGCGGAAGTGATTACAACTCCTGAGCAAACAACGAGGCCTAGGCAATATATAGCAAAGCTAGCTAGGCCGAGGTCGCGGAGTCGCACGAAGGTTGGGTGCAGGTTCCGGTTTGGGAAACCCGAAGGCGACGCGGAGGACGTTCGGAAGGCGAGGTCGACGGACCGAGCCTGAATTCCGAAAAGTTGGAATTGTACGCGTAAGAGATGCCTCCGTAAGGAATTAACGAAATTCCTTACTGTAAGGAAAATCCCTT